CCAACTACTTCTCGCGCGACGCCCTCCTCAGCACGTGGTGCGGGTCTCCGCCCTACGCGGCGCCCGAGCTGTTCGAGGGCCGGCACTACTCGGGGCCGAAGGCGGACATCTGGTCGCTGGGCGTCGTGCTGTATGTGCTCGTGTGCGGCGCCCTTCCCTTCGACGGCCACACTTTGCAGTCTCTCAAGACTCGCGTGCTTTCGGGAAAGTTCCGAATCCCGTACTTCATGTCCACGGATTGCGAGCACTTGATTCGCCACATGTTAATCACGGAACCCGAGAAACGCCTTTCTCTCCAGCAAATCAAAGTCCACAAGTGGTTGCGCGCCACGCCCTCCGACGCCGCCACGCTCACCGCCACCGCCACCGAGACCACGCCCCCGCCCGACGCCGACACCATCGACATGTCGGTCGTCGAGTGGGTGTCGCGCGAGCTGTCCGTTGACTCGCTCACAGTGCTCGAGTCGGTGCGCACGCGCGCCTACGACCACAACTACGCGCTCTACCATCTGGTCAACGAGTCTAGTCACGTGACGCCGTCGTCCGCGCCCCCGTCGCCGCCGCTCCTCCCACTCGTCCCGTCGTCCAATCAGCGCAAGTCCTCCATCACGACGGGAGTGGTGGAGCGCGAGACGCCTTCCGCGCCCCTCCTGTCGGCCGGCGTCTCTCCGCTCCGAAGACACACTTTCGGTCCCATGGAAACGAACGCCAACTCGTCGACCAATCAACTCGTCACTCCGCCCCTCCTCTTCCTCACGCCCCCCACACAGCCCCCGCCCATGGCCAACCTCCCGCTCGCGCCGCCCAACTACCCGCTCACCAACATGGACCTCCTGCGCCCCCCAAACGTCCTCCTGATGGTCAACAACAACATGGGAAGGCGCGCGAGCGACGGACAGGCCAACTACGCGCGCGCCCAACCCCTCGACAGTCCGCAGTCGGTCACCGCCTCCGCGTCCGCCTTCGCCTTCCCCTCACAGACACCGCAGACGTCGCCGCCGCCCGTCTCCTATCAGCGCCGCAAACGCCACTCTCTTACCGACACTCAAGACCTCGTGACTCGACAGCGACGCTCCGGCGTCACGACTATGACGTCACCGAACGCCGCCCTCGCCGACAGGTTAGCCAATCAGCGATCAGTGAAAGCTTTCTAAACGCGTTTATTGGACAGAAACAGAAGACGCGCATCTGACGGCTCTTCCGTGACGACGACTCCGCACCAGATCTCCATCTCTTCGCTTCAGACGGAACTCCGCGCGCTCTGCGTGTCGTCTCCGCCGTCGCTCCAGACGTCGCCCATCCACTGCGCGTCGCCCACGAGTGCCGCCTCCGCGTCGCTCCCGTCGTCGCCGCCGCCCACTCTGCCGCTCATCTCGGAGGAGCTGCTCGCGACGGGCGCGCCGTCCGCGTGCTCGCCGGCGCCGCTGTTGACGCCGCCGCAGTCGTTCCGGTCGTCGCCCGTGACGTCGCCCTCAATGGCGCCGTCCATCGCCATCACCGACGAGTTGGGAACTCTGCAGTTCCCGATTCTTCCGCCGCCCGTCGACTTCCAACACGTGACCTCTCAGCCCAACCTCGAGCCCGCGACGGACGACAGCGCAGAGTGTCGTCTGCATCGGTGGCCGAACGACGAGAGTAAGTGAAAGTTGAATAGCGAATCCGCGCATGTCTTCAATGCATGTCTTTAGCGATCGTTCGTTTCAGACGTCTTTAGACCCAAAGATCTCTCAGTTTGTGACCATTGAATGCCATGAGAATGCATCCCATCCCTCACCACAAGGCGCTCCTCACCGCCACTCTCTCCCGCAGGTCGTCGCGTGCAGTTCGCGGCCAACCGGCGCCTCCGCCAGACCTACCCGACGACCAGTGCGCCGAACACCGCCTCTCAGCAACACTACACGAGTCTGCAGAGTGTGGCGCGAGAGGCGCACCCGTCGGCCCTCACGACGACCGGCAGCGGCAGCATTTGCATCGAGGACTTGGGCGCCGCCACGAAACTGCTCCACCGATTGGCGCAAACCAGCGGCCTCTCCGACGTCATCGCCTTCCACGACAACGACATTCAGATCTCTCTCGAGTGGAACGCCAACCGTCTGGTGTTGCGCCGCGTGTCCGGCGACCAAACCCAATACAAAGACGTTTGCAATCAACTGATCCATAGTGTCATGTGACCATCGCTTCACTAGTTGTCAATAAATTCATATTTTGCTATCACTTCGAGTGCTTTGCTTTGCGGCCGACAGACGGCGCGACAGACGACACGACACTAATGGCGACGACAGACAACGACGCGAAGGTGAGACCGTGTGTTGCGCCGCACGCCTCCTCTCAACCCCTTTCGCCCCCTCCAGAGACTGCAATACAAGTACCAGATCTGGTTCTCGCGCCGCGCGCCCGGAAAAGTGACGGCAAACCAGTCCTACGACCAGAACCTCAAACCCATCGCCGCCTTCGCGACTGTCGACCAGTTTTGGGCCATTTATTCGCACCTCATTCGGCCCAACGAACTGTCCGGCCATTGCGACCTCCATGTCTTCAAACACGGCGTTCGCCCGCTTTGGGAGGTCTGTCTTCGCGCTTATGTCGCGCTTCTGTTTCCTCACTTTCCTCTCCTCTTAGGACGAGACCAACAAAGACGGCGGCAAATGGATTGTGCGACTCCGCAAAGGTCAGGCATTGCACGCCTTGTCGGCCACCACGTGACCACTCTTTCTCTTAGGTCTGGCCTCCAGGTGTTGGGAGAACCTGTTGCTCGCGCTCTTGGGTGAGTATCTCTTGTCAACACTGCCGTCCCCTCAATAACCTCCCGGTGCTCTCCTCCTGCGCGACAGGCGAGCAGTTTATGGTGGGCCACGAGATCTGCGGAATCGTCGTCTCGTGTCGCTTCCAGGGTGAGAGCTGTGGACCGCTTGAGAGCGCTTTTGACGCCATTTTTGTCTCTTAGAGGACATCATAAGTGTTTGGAACCGAACGGCGAGTGACTCGCAGACGACGGTTAGGATTCGCGACACTTTGAAACGCGTTTTGAATTTACCCGCGAATACACTCATGGTTTGCATTGTTGTCCGCTTTCTAAGCCTTTTCTAACGCTTTTCCGATAGGAATATAAACCGCATTGCGATTCGTTGAGAGACAACACGAGTTTCAGAAACACTTTCGTCCGATAATCGCAACAATAAACCTATTTTTGCACAAATCCTTGTTTCCAATCATTTCCGACCACAAAAAGCGAATCCGTTTCCGTTTTCGGCATTCAATACGACTCCTGAGGAATGCAGCCCTCGGACTCTTATACAAAAAAAGTGATCAAATAATCTATTTTTCTAATATTTTACATAATTTCCGTTTGTTTTCTATATAATGATCTCGTAATCTATTCTAACCTCTAATTAAGTTTAAATAGCAAATTGAATGACAATTAAGATTACATTTTCATAAAATTTGAAATTTGTGAGAAAAACCAATTGAAACGAGATTTAATGGAAACAAACAATTATAAGAGATGACTCTCTCATCCAATCATCCATTGAGTCGGTCTTGGGATCCAATTCCCGGCCATTCGTATCAAAAGGTGTTTAAGTTGTATAGCATTTTGAATTAAACACTAATTGAGACATAAGTAGCGTAACCATAAAAATGCTCGAGTGATCAGACCTCAAGTGTTTGCTCAACACTTCGGGTATTTGCTGACAGAATACTTGACATTGTTTTGTGAAAAGTATTTTGTTTTTATAAACAATTTGTATTCCTGTAATTAGTATTAGTATTTCTGAATTAGTAATTCAAAATTGATATTTTAGTAGAAATTAGATTTCTTGACAATATTTCACAGAAAAGTATTATTTTGACATTTTATTGAAAGTATTTTGATCACACTTTAGGCTTAATTTAGTTTTATCGCTAATTAATGCGAAACAAAACAACAATTATTACTAGAATTGATTGAAACGAAAATACAGACGAATAGAGTTGTCGTATAATTGACTGCAAAAGAGATCATAAAAGCCATGATTTCTATCACTAAACGGTTTGAAAAGCGCGCCAAAAGTGCTGTCAATGACTGCGCGTTCAAAAGAGAGACACTTTTGAAGCGATAATACTAACAGAAGTCATAATAAACACAACATTTCGCAGCAAATGATTCCCGTCTTTGTATTTCCCAATCATTTGGCGTTTAATTGTCGCACAAAAACCAAATCCATTTCTGTTTACAATCCGTACGACTTTCACATCAAATTCACGAGTATTTTAACCATTCGTTCGACTCTTCACGAGATAATCAGTTCTTTTGTCGCAGTTTTGGCCACAAATCCGTCCGCTTTCGCGCTCTCGTCCTCCGAAGGCGTCATCCGTTCGCGTCATTGTCTCGATGTGTGAGTCTTTGGCCGCCAATTATCACCACTAATGTCTTCGTGTCCGCAATAGAGCCGTGCGTTTGACTCAAGACTCGGTTCGCAGCGAAAAGTTCTTGATTTCCATTCGCGAGACTTCGGGCGCTCTTCGCAGCGGACAACGCGTGCTGTCCGTCGCCAACCGCGCGACAGACGACCCGACGCAAGACGACGAGGACGACGGCGCGCACGACGACCACTTCGCGCCCCTCCCGTCGTCGCCCTCCGCTCTGCAGTCCGCGTGCCGTCAGTTCAATGGCGCGCAACAGCACCACAACCCGTGGTTCTTATACGCCGTGGCCGTCGTCTGCGTCGCGCTCCTCCTCCTCCCGCAGCAGACGCACGACAGCGGCGGCGACGCGACGCCTCTTCTGTCGGTCGCCGTCGCCCACAAACTAGTCGTCAGTTCTCTCGCTCTTCAATATAAGTCTTTTAACTCTTTCTCTCCTTTGAAGGCGTCTTACGTTTTGGGACTTTTGACAGTCGTTTGGTTAAGGAATTGACCGAAACTGCAATAAAACTATTTTTCTAATCCAATCAATCCTTTGCTGTCCTTTCCGTCGCCAACAGATGGCGCCACTGTTTCTATGCGTGAGGGAGGGGCGCGCCGTTCGGCCCCCCCTTTGTTGCTGTGCGCTGTCATTGTCAGGGCGTGACTCCTCTCAGTCCACAGCAATGTCCACAACAACCACAGCGTTGGCGCTCTTCGCGGCCGTCGCGTGCGCTTCGGGTGAGTGTTTGCGCGCGTGTTTGGGCGCCCCCTCTCAACCCCTCTCTCCGCAGTTCTCGGGCAGGACTTTGGCGAAAGGCCGGCGACCAATGAGCCGCAGTTCGTCTCTCAAGGCGTGAGTTTTGCACACATTTCGCGCTTTCTCTCAATTCGTGTCCACTTTTAGGGCAATCGTGTCGTCAGAGAAGGCGAAGACATCGGCAAGTATTCAGTCCTTATCTCTTCAGACCATTGTCTAACTCTTGTCTCCCGCAGACCTCCCGTGCGAAGTGCACGACCTGGGTAAGTCCACTCGCCCCTCACGCGCTCCCCACACGCCCCCTAACGCCTCCTACGCCCCCTTCAGGCGAATTCGTGATTCTCTGGAAGTTCAACAGAAGTCAAGTGTTGTTCGCCGGAAACCTTCGCATTCATAGAGACGACAGGATTTCGCGCGACGACCAGAAGGGCTCTCTCGTGATCCGCAACTTCCGGCCGGAAAACGCCGGCGAATACAGGTCTGCCTCACTTCCGGTCTGACGTCACGCAACCGAATAACGCCTTTCCCTTACAGCTGTCAGATCTCTACGAATCCGCCGAAAGATATCGTTTATAACGTCGCTGTCATCGGTTTGTCGCGAAATCTCTTTATTTTTGTCTTAAATCTCTCGTCTTTCAGGTCCGCCGCAAATCCGCGCCTCAAA